CAAATTATTTCCAACACCATCCCTTAATTTATATTTATACAAAAGTGACAACACCAATTTCATCCCTCAAACGAAGAAATTAATCAGTCTTGATAGCTTTTGTTAGAACATCTGCCAGCTGCTTTTGGGTGCTACAATGCATAACTTCTAATGTTCCATTATGAACCTGATTCCTCAGAAAGTGATACTTGGTCTCAATGTGCTTGCTTCTCCCATGCAGCACTAGGTTCTTGGCGAGATTGATTGCAGACTTGTTATCAATCATCAACTTCAAAGGTTTGTCTACCTCAATCTTCAGATCTTGCAGCAAGTTCAGAATCCATATAGCTTGACATGTAGTCATAGCCCCTGTAATATATTCAGCTTCACAGATTGACAGTGCAACAACATGTTGCTTCTTGAAACACCAACAAATAGGACCTCCCCGAAATTTGAATAAGTACCCAAAAGTACTTCTTCTGTCAACTCTGTCTTCACACAAATAAGAGTCTGAATAACTCTGAAGTTCTAATTCAATCTTTCTTCCAGAAGGAAATAACACTCCATACTTCAGAGTTCCCTTCACATACCCCAGAATCCTGACATCAGCTTGGTAATGAGACCACTTTGGTTTACTCATAAATCTACTAACCATTCCAACTGCATAGCAAATATTAGGTATGGTATTACACAAATACCTCATAGAACCAACCATCTGCTTAAAGGTTGTAGCATCCACATCCTCTCCATAAGAATCAAAGTCCAATTTCTGATTTGTATTGGCAGGTGTGATAGCAATTTTGCAATTCTCTAGCTCAAATCTCTTCAGAATCTCAAGTTCATACTTCATATGATGCAAAATGATTCCTTTCTCAGAGTACATAAACTTCATCCCTAGAAAGAAACTCATTTTCCCAAGATCTGTCATCTCAAACGCATTCATCAGAACCTTCTTGAACTCAGCTATTTCTTGTTCAAAGCTTCCTGTGAGTAATATGTAATCAAAATACAAACATACCAAAATCATATTACCTTCTGAAGTGTGCTGAACATAAACACCATACTCCATCTCACACTTCTGAAACCCGTTTCCCTTGAAAAATGAATCAATCTTCAGATTCCAGGCTCTGGGCGCTTGCTTTAATCCATACAAGGCTTTGTGTAATTTGAACATCATCCTTTCCTGATTCTTTTTCTCAAATCCAGAGGTTGTGATACATATACCTCTTCTTGTAATGGACCATTCAAAAATGCAGATTTTACATCTAAATACATCAGAGGACAATTCATGTTAGCAATTATTACAATCACTAGTCTGATTGTTTCATGTCCCCTTACAGGTGCAAACACTTTAGAGTAATTCAGCCTAGACTTTTGTAGAAAGCCTCTTGCTACTAATCTTGCTTTGTGTTTTCCAATTGGTCCATCTGGCTTTAGCTTCTGCCTGAAAACCCATCTAACGTTGATGGCTTTCTTGCCTTTTGGAAGTTCTGTCAACTTCCAAGTCTTGTTTCTATCTATAGCATCAAGTTCTTCCTTTATGGCCTGCAACCAGACTTGCTGATTAAGAGTCTCTTCTGTACTCACGGGTTTAGAGTCTACTAACATTGCACACTGAATAACTTCTCCTTCGGAGTCTACTTTAGTGTCTTGTAACATGTCAAACTTTGCAAATCTTCTTGGGATGCTTCTGACTCTTTGTCGCCTCTAAATTTGAACTTCAGAACCCCAGACACCAGAACTTTTCCCTTCAGAAATTGGACTTTCTCCAGAACCTTGATTGTCTTTAGAGTCTGGAAAATTTCCAGAGTCTGAATCACCATCGGAGTCAGAGTCAGGATCATCTTCACCTTCTGAATCTTCTTCAAATTCAGAGTCTTTACCAGCTTCAGAAACATGTGTTTCTGACTTTTCTTCAGGAGTTCTCTCATCAGAGTCAGGACGAGACCTTTCCCAATTCTAGACTTCTGATTCTTTTACAATGACGTCTATGTTAAACTCAACTTTGTTAGTTTCTGGATAATAAAGTTTGTACGAACTTGTACTGTGGTACCTCACCAAACATTACTTTACTTCTATTATCCAACTTCTGTCTTCTGGCTTCTGGGACATGTTTGTAACATACAGAACCAAACACCTTCAAATGACTAACACTTTTTTTTATCTCCAGTCCACTTTTGAATAAGAACTATTTCCTTCAGCTTCTTCGTTGGATATCTGTTGAGCATATAACATGCAGTGGCAATAGCTTTTCCTCATAGAGTATGAGGAAGCTTCTTCTCTTTCAACATGCTTCTCACCAAATCAAGCAAAGTGAAATTTCTTCTTTCAGCAAGACCATTGTGTTGAGGAGTATAGGAAGCAATAACCTCATGCTCAATTCCATTCTCCTCACAGAACCTTCTGAATTTTGTGGAGTTATACTCACCACCACCATCAGTTCTAAGAATCTTCAGAGTCTAGCCACTCTGATTCTCAACCTTCGGCCTGAACTTCTTGAATTCAGCAAACACCTCGTGTTTGAACTTTATGAGAGGTATCCATGTCATTCTGGTGAACTCATCAACAAATGACATAAAGTATTTATTCCTTCCATTTGATGCTACTGGAAATGAACCGCATACATCAGAATGCACTACTCTCAAGGCATGCTTTGCTCTTGGAGCTACTTCTGATGAAAATGGTAATCTTGGTTGCTTCCCTTCCATGCACACCTTGCATGACTTCTCAGGCTTCTTGATTGTAGGAATTCTATGTACCAACTTCTTTGATTTCAGATACCCTAAACTTCTGAAATTCAGATGACTAAATCTTCTGTGCCACAACTCACTCTCCTTGACAACACTTATCGCACTAAGACATTCAGAATCTGCAGTTTTAACTTTCACCTTGAATATTTGGTTCCTTCCCTGTTCTGAATCCATAATATGCTTCTGATTACAGTCATACAACTTTAGAAGATTGTCCTTCATGGTAACCGAAAAACCTTTCTCAATCAGTTGTCCCACACTCATCAGATTGCTTTTCATGCTAGGTACATACCATAAATTCTGGATCACTGCTGCTTTCCCATTGTTTAGAATGATTCTGACATTTCCCATACCTTATACATTGAGGTATTTATCATCAACACATATGATCTTTGTACTCTTCCCAGAGTCAAAATCAACCAACCATTTCTTGTTTCCAGTAAGATGGTTTGAACACCCTGTGTCCATATACCACTATTCTAACAGATTCATATTATCAGGTTCAAAAGCCACCAATAGCACAGGTTCATCATCAAACTCTCCTCTGACTATATTTGCTTCTTCTAACTTCCTTTCTTTGTTCGACCAACAATCTTTGGCATAGTGGCCAAATTTCTTGCAACAGTAACACTGGACATTCTTCTTATCATACTTCTCCTTTACCTTCTGGACATTCTTCTGCCTATTAGAGTTTTAAGCTTCTGACCTTTGACCATCATTAGTTTTCTTCATGGCTTCTGACCAAGTCTGCTTCTGATACTTCTTACCAAAAGTTACTTTCAAAGTCTGCTGTTCTACTTTCCTCTCAGAAGTTCTCTCAGTCATACGCAATTCATGCGCCTCTAGACTGCTTTGCAGCTCTTCAACTCTCATGGTGCTCTGATCTTTGGAATGTTCAATTGCTACTACAATGTAATCAAACTGAGAAGTTAAAGATCTCAATATCTTCTCAATGATTACTTGTTCAGAAAGAGTTTCTCCACAAGCTTTCATCTCATTAGTGATCAGAATCACTCTAGAGGTGTACTCAAAAACCTTCTTGTTATCCTTCATGTTGAGATTCTCATATTGCTTTCTGAGAGACTGAAGCTTCACCTTCTTCACTGATGCGCCATCACCGTAACATCTGACCAGTGTGTCCCACGCAACCTTTGTTGTTTCAGAGTCAGCAATCTTCTCAAACACGTTCACATCCACACATTAATGGATATAGAACAACGCCTTCTGATCTTTCTTCCTTAGCGCCTTCTGCGTAATCTTCCGAGCCTCTATTGTGTCTGTTATTAACGGAGCATAGCCATCAGTGACAAGATCTAACACATCTTGAGAACCAAACAACACACGCATCTGAATCTTCCAACGATTCTAGTTTTTGTCACCAAACGCTGAAAGCTTGAAATTAATTTCTCCGTTTCCGTTCATCTTCAACCTTGTGCAATTCACTCAAAAATTCACTAAAAGTGTTTCCCAAATTTCACAGAATCAGAAAAAACGATTCTCAATAATACCTCACTGTTCACTCGTGTTTCCCGTTTTCCCGTGGATTTCGAACCAGAAGAGGCTCTGATACCAATTGTTGGTGCACAAGGAGAGATGAAAGACAAAAAGAATATATTTAATGACTGCTACAGAATAAGAAATAATGAATTTACAATGAATTACATTGACCTACCTACTACTAGACTATTTATACACAAAATTAAGATACAATAAAATATTAAAATACCATCTAACAAATATATAAAAAGATATTTTTAGATATTCCTAAAATACAAATTATTTCCAACAAGTGTAAACTGGAGGAGGGGGAAAATGATAAAATGATATGAAAACAAAATTTATATCATGTGATTCGGGTACTCATTGGATAAATAGTCTGAAACTTCATTCGAGTAATAGATAACATTTTTATCCAAGACTGGTCCATCTATATTTTTGGCCGGGCTAATGGTCCAGGTCTACCGGTCCGAAGGTCTAATAACAACCTTAATTGTGATTGATTGACAATGTAAAACTACTCTACAATAATGCATGAGTACTTTTCTCATAACTTAATTAGTAAAATTAATTGAAAATGATAAATTATTCAGTAAAGTAGTATATTAGTGTTATTTCCGAATTCAATATATATTCCTTAAAAAAAAGGTGCAGAAATACAATCCTGGGCCCATTGTACATTGTAATAAGATTGAGGAAGCAACAACACAGTACAAAAGCTCAAGAGTAACGCAAAGAAAGGGTCTCGGCGCTGAAAATTCGAAGCTGATTACAATGGAGCCACAGCCACAAGTTGATGATGATCATTTCGAGGGTTTTAGGCAGTCTTTCGATGAAATTCACACCGAAGTTGACAAGGTCAGCACGCAATTTTCACCTTTCACCTTTGTTTCACCAATCATTTCCTTTTTTATTGATTAGATTCTCTCCATTTATTTAGGGTTTTTGCTTAATCAATTAGGTTTTGTACTGTATAATTGATTGATGATGATCTCGCCTCATAAATTTAACCCCAAATCTAATCTAGTCACTTATTATTACTTGATTTTCTTGCATTTAATTGGTTTATTAATTAGGGTTTACACAATAAACATATCAGTTGTAGGGTTTGTTTTAAGTTAGATTTAAGATAAACCAAGTAATGGAGCAAATATGTCCCTACTGTCTAATAAATTCCTGTGATAAATGGTAATGAAGTATAAAAACTCAATCATACATGTCCAAATAATAAGATAAAAGGTCATTTTCCAGCGAATACACTTTGCCTACCAAAATATCATGTAAAAATACTTCACATATATATTTTTTGCTTTAGTAATATCTTACGATTTTTGTTACGATCTAGCCATCCTCTCTCGATCTTACAAAAATAATTGGGTAGAATCTTCTGATCTTAGTTACGATTTTATGTCTTACGATTTTGTTATCCCCTCTCGATCTTATGTAAAATCCCGATCTTGACAACCTTGATACACTAACTATCTAGACCATATATCTGGTTGATGTGTGATTTTCAGCATATATAGTAGTTGGTTTTAATTCATTAGCTTTGATTTGCTTGCTATAGTGGCTGCATCATTTTTCTTAGTGAATATGGATTCGTGTTTGATGGAAAAGCAATTATGGATTAAGCTTCTTAATATTTCATTCTTTTTATAGATTTCTAGGGGCTCAAATTTTAATCTTGTTAGAGTGCTGATCTAGATTCATTTTTTAATGTTAAAATGTTAGTTGAATATAGTTGTGTAAGTACAATAGTTGCTAATTGCTTAGATCCTCTATGGTTGAACACATGTTATAAATAAGTTACATATAAATTACTTTATAAAATATTTGAAAGTATAAGCTTGTATAATAATAAGTTTTGAACTGTGGAAATTTTACATTGTGAAATCTTTTACAGCTTGAGAAGCAAGTGATTGAGGTTGAACGGCACTATGAATCTGCTGGTAATGTTCAGGGAAGTCATTCTAAAGGTGGTTCAGTAGTAAAAGAGAAAGGCCGGGAGAAAACTCTTGTTGGCACTAAAAAGCTGTTGCAAGATGCACCGCGTACGGAAACCGCTGCTGCAAAGAGGATGCAGGAGCTAATGCGCCAGTTTTCCACAATATTACGTCAGGCAAGTGCAAATGCTTGGCGACTTTTTTTTGGGTACAATGCAGTTTTGTTTTTATTTAATGATCTATATGAATGTACTGTGGCACAAAAAACAAATATAGGGTTTTAGGAGTAATTGCTGGAATAATTAATGTATTTCAGAATGATAGGGCACAGCCATATATAGTTATCGAACAAGACTCCAAATAGAAATATAACCACACCTAATCACAGGTCAATCATATCTTGTTGCTCCAAATCACTACAACCCCCATTTTCCTCCCTATAAACTTCGACCGAGTGGTCATACTGCTACCTGCTATTTGAATGGTTGTCAATATTTAATCACTCATCTTTATCTTTTACTTGCTTTTTGTAGATGTATCATACTTCTCTTTAAATACAATTTAATTTCTATACTTATCTACATTGTTTATTTTTTATTTCATGATCCATGTTGCAGACTTTACATAGTAAGATTTTATATTCCTCAGGAGTCATCTTTGAGCTCTTAAGATCAATTTATTTTTTCATTGTTAAAATAAGCAATCTCCTCCTTTCTGTTGAATATGTTGACCCTATCAAGTATCTTGTGAAAAATCAATAGTAATGCATTTGAAGCTTTTCAGATCACTCAGCACAAGTGGGCTTGGCCCTTTCTGGAACCTGTAGATGTAAAAGGTCTCGGGCTTCACGACTATTACGAGGTAATGCCCTTCATCATTTTGAAACTTTTCTCTTGGCATTGACTATAGTTGCCTTTAATGCATAATTGACTTTAATTATTTTTTCAACCTATGACCAAATGTCGGTTCGGTCTCTGTTTCTTTAAATGGTGGCATCAGTTTAACTGGTTAACCACCAACCTTTTATAGCAGAGTTATTTGTATACTGCTTATCTTTGATTGTATCTCTAAAGTAATTTGTTTGATTTGATGTCCCTAGATTATTGATAAGCCCATGGATTTTGGTACGATAAAAAATAAAATGGAAGCTAAGGATGACACTGGGTATAAGAATGTGCGGGAAATATATGCAGATGTAAGGTTGATATTTAAGAATGCAATGAAATACAACGATGAAAAAAATGATGTCCATGTTATGGCAAAGACCTTGCTGGAAAAATTTGAAGAAAAATGGCTGCAACTGTTACCTAAAGTGGCCGAAGAGGTAAATTGTTTTTCAAAACAGTTTCTTTATTTTGGTAAATGAAGCTTCATTACACGGATCTTAAGGAGTAGGTGTAATGCTAATTGTCAATTCGGAGGGGTTAGTATAGACATGGTTGTCAAAATTGTGATTGTATGAGTGGAGGTTTGGAGCAATCCCATTCCCAGGGGAAACTTATTTCTGCTAGGATCTTGCTGGCGTGTAGGATCAGAAAGATCTTAGGATCCAGTCAAAAGCCTCAAAATGCTCTTCAATGGCTAAGTCTTAGAAATTACCCATCCCAAAATCAGAAGGAACAAATGGAAACTATCCCAAACCAAACATCTTCCCAATCGCTGCAGTGACCTTTCTGTAACTGAAATTTCTTTTTTAAAATCTGACATGTAACTGGCTGCGGGTCGGTCACATGTGAGGTAATGTTTGATCTTGTTGTAACTGTCGCAATGCCTTGTTTCTTTGCTGCAGCGGTACTTGTTACTCGTGGATCTGTTGGTGTGGGCATAGGAAAGACGAGACTTGAGAGAAACTCACTTAAATGAGAACTTTGTTTTCAATTTTTTTGTTTTCGTTCATTTTTTGACAGTATGTAGCCTGTAGACCACAAACCTTGCAACAAACATACACTTTTTTCCACTTGGTAGGATTGATTATTTGGTACTTCTTCGCAACATATCAAGAAAAATGCTATATATATGTTAAAAATTTATGAAAATAAAAACAACTTGATTACATTCTTCTGATTATTTTTTCAACTTTTACTAAATTTAACTCAAATAATCAAGGTAATGAATAGCTATAAGTCGATGGTTAGATTAACGAAAATCATATTAGAAGTCTCGTAGGTAAACAAACACATACATGCATTCTTAAGGAGTATCTCTTATTCTCTTATTTATGCAATAAAAATTCAGTGAGGTTTCATGTGGGTTGTTGACTGCCTAGCATAACCCTCATCTTTTCTCCTCAGGACAGAGCAGTATACAGTGTTTGATCCTTGTAGTTGATTCCACATAATGGGAAAAGGCTTTAGTTGCTGTACTTATTGTATATCTCCTTCTATTCATCTTTTATTTATTTTAATTATTTTATAACCCAAAAACAGTATACAGTTTTGGTGGCTGCACTTGTAGTGACAGCTGTGATATTTTGTCATCCTTTATGTCATTACCTTTGTTTAATTATGGTAGGAAAAGAGAGAAATAGAGGAAGAAGCACATGCACAACTAGACATTCAACATGCTCAGGAGATGACCTATGCCAAAATAGCTAAGGATTTAGCCAGTGAGGTTGTTTATTGTTTGCTAGCATTGTGCTTTTCAGTGCAAATCATTTGTTTGATGTATTTAGGAGTATATAAGATGGTTTATGCTATCAATCTGTTTTTTCAGCTTGATGAGGTTGATCTACGTTTGACGAAACTCAAAGAAATGGTCATTCAGAATTGCAGGTTAGTCAAAAAACAGTTATTATTTTCCTTGTCACTTTCACAAATTGTAGTGAAAACTTTTGTTATTGCATTTGTATATTTTGTGCTCCTAATACCACTATTATCAAGGTTCAATTTTTATTGAAGTCTCCACTCCTAACACTATGATTGATATTTTAACTTCAAAAGTCTCCTAAGTTTAGTAAAACTGGGCTCTCTTGGTGGTTGTTATGAAAATTTAATGCATTTTGTTTTTCTATTGACTGATGGAATTAGAAATGGAAAATGAAAACATTCATAATATTTCAAATATTGCAATTACAGTTTGACATTTCATTGTTTCCTCAAATATCTTTTTAGTTCCTGAAATTAAATCCACTTTTGGTTTTAGTTCTTAAATATTTTATTTATTTATATTTAAGGTCTCTTATTATTCTAAAGCGGACACTTTTAGTACATCATTAAATGATATCTTTTTGGTAATGATGTGGTAAACAGAATGTCACATCATCACTGCATATGCATTATAAATTGCCCCTTGCATTACATACTGTCCACCCAACATCCTCTACTCCTCTTTCTCTTGTTCCATCTTCTCTCTTCCAAACAATCCTCAAATTCACCACCCCGCTTCACACTTTTCCACCTTCAGCCAAGAACATCATCACCCATTGTGCTGGAGGAGATACATGAAGCTGAGACTGCCCATGCATGAACTCTTTGGATTAACCTCACACAAATCCACTCGTAAGACATAAACACAGCCCTGTTGTTAAACCACCATTTGAATCTCTCCAAAACCAAAAAGAAAACCATTTTCTTCGCCTTGAACTCCCTTTAAATCACCTAAAATAAGCTAATCCAAATCAAAATAATGGTTGTAGGCACTATGTGTTTATTGTGGTCAAGTTTTGAAATCATGAATGATCCTATTCAACAATTAGAAAGAAAGAAATATGTATCACGAAAGGGTCTGTTGCATGTGTTCTTATTAGGGTATGTTTGGTTGTTTCAGATAATCAAGGTAATTATTTATAAAGTTATAGTTGAATCGGGAATAAATTTAAGGGATTAATTGTTTAACCCATCTTATGAAATGTAGTCGGTTTGGTGTGACACATCAAATAGTAAGAAAAAAAACCAAAGGAACATAGAGAAATGCCAAACCATATCAATTTTTAGTCGTTACTTGAAAATTTCTAAATATAGGAAATTCCTAGAATATACCAAAACTACACAGTAATTTCAACTTCAGTTTTGAACATGTAGAGTGAAGACCTATGGATTCTATAGTAAAGAGAGTGGATCTAATGAATGGTAGTCAAACTGCTAGAGATAGAGCAAGGTTTGGAAAGATTATGAGAGAAACTATTGAAAAAGATCTCGAGATAAATGAGTTGGGTAGAAGTATGATATTGACAGAACATTATGGCGTCGTTTGTTCCATGTATGCAATTGAGTAATATTTAGTGGGATAACACTTGATTATTGTTGTTGTTGTTGATGTTGTATGGCTATGATATGTGTTTATTATGCATATTTTAATTTACATAGATCCATGTTGCTAATGATATTGTAGAAAACTGTCTACTGGAGAGAGGAAAAATCTTGTGAGTGCTCTCGCCAAATTGTCTCCAGAAAACCTCCAAAGGGCATTGGGTATAGTTGCTGAGAACAACCCAAGCTTCGAATGTACTCAGGTTGAGGTGGTTCTTGACTTGGATGCCCAGGTCTGTAATGTTAATATTGTTTACTGTCAATGTCATCCATTATCAAATTGTGTATCCTGTAGTCTATTTGTTTAGCATATTTCTAGGCACTCATGTTTTGTTATTATTACTATTGATAGAGTGACTACACACTGTGGAGGTTACATCATTTTGTGAAAGGTGCTCTAGAAGACCAACCAAAGATTTGTGGGGGCACAGCTATTAATATTGATACTGATGAGAAGAAAGCAAATTCTAGAAGAAAGCGAGAATTTTGTGATGCTCTTGTCAATAACCTAACAAAGACTAGAAAATTATCAAATGCATGATTTGTTAGCACAGCATAGAAGGCATTGGTTTTGCCTGATTGTGTTGAAGTTGAAAACTTGCAGTGATGATGCAGTAGGGAAAATCTGTATCTCTGTTTATTTATCTATATCATAAGATATTCACAGCTATGTTGATGAAGCCAGTCTCTTAAATGCGCAGAAACATAGAAGTTTGCAGAAGTAACCTTGTGAAGGTGCACACCAAGTGAAGGGGAATTATATATCATTCTCAATGTTCTTTGGGTACATAGTCATCTTTATAAGAAATAAAATAGAATATAACTAAGTCTTGTATATGTGACTGTTGATTATATGAATGTATTGGGTGTATTATCCATTTTAGTATACTCCATTCAAAGATGGTCATTGTTGTAATTTACTGGAGCATACTAGTGATCTAAGCCATGATAAATTAAAAGTTTTTGAAACAAATTTAATCAAAATGTTCTAAATTGTTTTTCTTCTACAAAGTTATTTATAGGCTCACAACACTACTAAAATTATGGGTTCATAGTTCATGAATTGCACTGAATTAAAAACCACATTAATGATTTAGTTCAGTTTGCAATAACCACTTCAAAAAAAATGCAATTAATTGTTAAAATGATTTCATTTCAATTTAAAACCAGATTAAAATTAGTTTGTATTTACAAATTGGTTTATATTCATTTTATATTTATAAATTGATTTATAATCTGTTTATATTTATAAGATTTAAAAGTTAGTGCACTGAAGATATAAAATAATTTATATTTATAAGAGTTAAAAGGTGGCACTGATAGTATAAAATAGTTTTACACTTTCATCTAATTAGATATATAATTGTAATTGATTGACATTATAAAATTATATTATACTGTCAGTACATCAATCATTTTCTCTATTTATAAAATAGTTTTATGTTTTGAAATTTTTTATAACTAATATTTTTTTTTTTGTTTCAGAAATAAAATAATAATTTTAAAAATATATATTTTTCATTTTCTTTATTTGCAGATTTTTTTTTTTTATTTCGGAACTTTTTTTTTTATAAATAATTTCAATTTCCTTTAGTAAAAAAATCAGGAAAAAACTATTATTTTTTTTTTAAGATTTTCAGTTTTTTTTTAAATATTTCTTTTTACAGGGAAAAAAGGTTTTATATTTTCAATTTTTTGTATTATTAGAAAAAAGAGTTTAATATATGTTTTAGTCCATTAATTTAATTTAATGATCCACTTTAATCTCTTAACCAAAAAATATTATAAATTAGTTTTTTAACTTCACTTCTATTATACTATTTGATCCATTAATAAAAAACGTTAAGTTATGGTCACGTGGATATACAACAAAGTTCAAGGTTTAAATGTGACTCAACATTTATAGTATAAAGTAGGATTTTTGCTTAAGTTTCTCTGAAGCTGAACAACGTTAACCTGACAAACTAAATGAAAATTCTATTCTATAGTATAAATTTTGAGTCACACTTGGTCTTGAGCCTTGTTGAAGGTGGAGAAAAACACAACAAAGGAGGGGTTTGAATTGAGTTTTAATTTTTTTTTTCCGTTTAGAAGTGTTTTTCACAAACGATCAATTTGAGAGAGAAATAGTACATTGTGCGTCTATTTGAGTGAAACGTGTAATTATACCTTTTTACCAAATCTTCTTACGCTCCTTTATGATGATATTGTCTTCTGATGAATATGACTTCTGATGAAGTAGTTGACTTGAGAAGATATCATATTGATCTTGTCTTATGTGATGTGTAGAAGTGATGAGTTCAGAAGATATAACTTTCCTTTTGATCAGTCTTTTAATGGACCATATGATGTGTAGAAGTGATCAGTCCAGAAGATATAACTTTCCTTTTGATCAGTCTTCTGATGGAATACTTCTGATGTAAAGTTATGTGTGTATATTCCACGAAGTTCCCTATTCTTCAGAATCTTGACTTAGTCTTCAGAACTACGAGCAACAACTTTTCTGATGAATAAATATTGACTTCTGAATCTGAGGTAAAAGCTTTCTCTTGATGTGTTCATAACCTCGACTTTTTCCTCAGAGATACGAGCAACAACTCCTCTGATAAACAAATCTTGACTTCTGATCTTTGACGTGAAAGCTTGTTTATGTTCAATATTATTTTTTGATCTTGGAACATCAGCTTTAACAATATTTATTTCTTCTTGTATTCTTGTGACTTCTGAAGTAGCAACTTCTGATGAAGTACACATGAGATCCTCTTTCTGGCGAACATTCAACATTCTTCAGAACTACTGATGTTACTTCAGAGTCGGATGCAGTAGTCTTCTGATGCGTGCTTCTGATGATTCTTCCGACAATAATCCAGAATCAATTAGAACTTCTAATTTGCACACTAAAAAACTATTAGAAACAAAATTGTTTACTTATAAAATATATATATCGTTATCATCAAAATTCAGAGATTTAACAAATATCCAAATCTTATTCTAAGAGTTGTACATCCACGTCGCCATAACTTAACTTTTTTTGCTAGAATTTGACAGAAGAGACCAAATAGAATAACGGAAGTGAAGTTAAAAGACTAACTTGTAATGTTTTTTAGTTAAGTGACTAAAGTAAAACATTAAATTAAATTTGAAAAAAATTATTTTCAAATGTTTAGAAAATAATTTTTTATTTTATTTTTGAATTTTTTATCCAGAAAACATTATATATATAGTGAAAAAATGAGAACAATTAATCCCACCCATTAAATTTCAATCCATTAAGATTAATGGATTAAATTCATTTCTCTTTCTATAATCTTCTTTACTCATCATTTATATAATCTTCATTAAATTTAATTCACGATATCTTTAAGAATAAAAATATTTAATTTTATCTCTTTTAAAAATAATATAATCTTGATATATTATATTTTTTATTTAGTAATTAATATATAATCATGTATTATTGTTTAAACCAATAACACAAAAGAAGTATATATATTAATTTAAATGTTTATTATTAATATAATTATAAATATTTTTTTCTGTTACAAAATTAGAAATTAAAATGAGTGAATGTAAATTAATAAATATCAAATAAATCTTTAAAACACTTTTCATTCAGTTACCAATTTTAAAATTATTAATATAGTTAAATATTATCAATTAACAGTAATATTTAATGATTTGATTATTTTATCTTTTAGAAATAATAATAATCGATAAATATGCAATTAATTAATTGATTTGGACAAGGCCTGTCTTTGTCCCAACTCCATGTGTGGTCCAACCCAATTATGTCGTTCAAGACATACTGACCAGTTCTGCCCTCGACTGCGTCGAGCAGCAAACTTTCACTCTCCGCGAGGAGGTACCTTCATCACACGGGAATAAATCCAATTAGTCTTAGGAAGATCATCGCCGGTCAGGAGGACCCTGAGGTGACCCTCAAATCCTCTCCTCGACCAAGACCGATCCTCTCATACGACCTCGCATCTGACATAGAGCATCCACGATGAGCAGAAGCATCCCTACGAGCATCCTCCTCATATGGCTGACTATCAATGTCTCCGAATATCGCATAGTCTCCGTGGCTCCGAAAAAACCGCATTGATATCCTCTTGATCGTACGGAGGAAGTCATCCAGGTGGGGGACCACGTGCTGGTCCCCACTACTCACGTATGACCTGGAAGTCTCCACTTTGGGCCTGCTTGACCAGTCCAATGAGGAGACCTTGGTCCAGTACTATGGGCTATAAGTATCCTCTCTCGGGTGAGAGTTAGGGATTGGATATTTCTCACTCTCTTACTTGCTTGCACCATTCTGTATCTCATTTTGACATCAAAGAGTCTTGCAGCTACCCCCCCCCCCCCCCTCTCACCTCACTCTCAAGTACTACTCGAAGTAAGTTGTGACGGTCCATTCTGGTCAGGTACGATCAGTGGCGCCGTATGTGGGAAACAAGCTTCCCCGTCTTTCACTTGCATAAGAAAAAAGCTAATCCAACTCCTTTTTGACTGTCATGTCTGACCTCACGGTAGAAAACAATCTAAATGTCCATCCCACTGACGTCAACAACAACGTCGCCGACAACAACACTGGCACCAACAATATTGGTCCCGCTGGCCACAATATTGGAAACAACAACATCGGCCACACCGTAGACATACCTGGCGCTTTAGAATATAGAGACGGATTGAATGCCTCATAGTCATCACTTTCCCAACGACTCGAAGACGATCGTCGTCCTCCCCAGAACTATAAGCCAAATGCGTTCCAGGAGGTCCCCGTTCCTGCGGGTGCTGATGCCACGACCAGGGCACTGTTCGCGGCTATAAATCAAACAAACTAATTGATCTTTTCACAAGGGTAGAGATTAAGGGTGCTCGAAGATTCTCAAAGATCCCCCAGAAGGCACAGGAGGCCTGATTCTCCTCCTGCCCGTCAGATAGAGGACCATCCCCAATCTCCCCCACAGAGACGCAGACGAGATGCCTCTCGAAGCCCCTCTCCCTGACGAACCGGGCGATGCCCCGCATTGGAGAGGGATCAGCCTGTTGATACAGGGAGACGTGATCACATCCCCCGCTCCAAGAGCGAAGACCCCCTGGAAACAGAAACAGGGGAAATGACTAACAACAACACCGGCCGAGGGACCCTCCCTGCAACCAAAGCCGCCATCATGACCTCCATTACAACAGGTGCCTTCTCGATCTCCAAACAGAAGCGACGAAGATGACCCCACGTTCCCTTATCCCAGGATATTATGGAGGCACCCATTCCCCCGGGTATGGAGAAACCTCCCCATTTGAAGGAGTACGATGACATTTCCGATCCAGTCGACCACATCGATAGGTTCGAGGCAATGCTGCACTATCACAATATCGGGGGAACAATCAAATTTTGATTGTTTCCCACGACTCTGAGAAAGACTGCGATGGACTGGTATAAGAACCTCAACCCAGAGTCAATTACCTCCTGGAGAAATTTGAAACACCAGTTCATCAGCTTATTCATTGCCTCACGTCGACACCCGGAGACTGAGGCAA